GGTGTCGCCCTCTCCAGCGCTGCCCGTGTGGCCAGCCGGCTCTCTGCATTACGGCAGCGCAAGTCCCTGGAGCACCCTGTGCCTGGGGAACACCTTCAGTGCCAGCGCAGGGGAGCACCCACGGCTGGACCAACTCCCTCCTCCTCACCTGTGAGATGAGAGCGGGGAAGTTCAGCTCCATTCACCTCCAACTGCTCTCCCTTTAAAAGAAGATTGGATTTTCACAGTAGCTTCAAGGCCTCTCTCCTGCCCCCCTGCACGGGCATGTGAGCACACAAGCGTGTGCAGCCGCGGTACGTGTGTCCATAGGGCAGTGTGGCTGTATAGCACACCATGATGCTCCCAGGCTGCAGGGGGACACTGCACCCTCCCCGAGGCTGTAAATAAGTAACTTTCAGCAATAGCCAGCTCGGGCCACATCCACTCCTCTCGCAGAGCTTTTCTCAGCACCTGGAAGAGCCAAACCCATGTCCCTAAGGACTCTCACTCGCACACTGCTCCCGCACTCCAGTCTGTGCCGTCCCATCCACAAAGGAGCAGCAAAACCCAGCTGCCCCCATGGCCAGCAAAGGGCACAGGGGAGCAAACGTGGATTTCTGCCCCAGGCTCACACTTGCACGTTTTCAGACTCCTCTGATGCTTACGGGCAGGTTCCTTTGTTTCTCCTGGCTGTCACCATGGGCTCTGCAGGACACCCAGAGCACTCAGCCGGGACACAGGCAGTCTGTGGGGCTAAGCACGGGCATTTGTGCCGACAAGGGCTGCCAAGACGGAGCAGCAGCCCCTGATAATCTGCATTTACACCCATGTGGATGTGCGCATGATGCTAAGGGCTAAGATTTTCACTGCTGTGGGGGCTATGTGCCGTCAGGAGAACAGAGATGCAAAGGTGGATGGCATCAGCGTGCTGTGGCACCTTGGTCCCAGACTGATCCTGCAGCAGAGCTCCCCACGAGCTGCTCTTAACCACCCAGGGCACCTCCAGGCTTGGTGATAATTTTTGAAGGCCACATGGATATGGATCAAATGGGGTGCTCGAAACCCTCACTGTCATATCCCAGCCACCATCCCCGACAGCACACATGGGCTCTGCAGAAGGCACCATGTCATGCCCCGGGAAGCTGCAGGGTGATGCTGATGACCAGCCCTTGCCACCCTAGAGCACATGCAGGCGTTGAGGGCTGCGTGGCCTCGCAGTGAGCACCCTCCCCACAATGCCTGCCCCGTGATTCAGGTGCTGTTCCCCCACCAGCACTGATGACCCCAAAGCCACCTCCCCACATGTTCCTGGCATACACAGGCAGGAGCCAGGTTGCTGGTGGCAGCAGAGGTGCATGGCTGTGACAGACCAACCTGCACTTGCTCAGGCTCTTAACTTCTTCCCAGGACACGGTCCGGGCAGCCCGAAATCTTTGTTTCACATTCTCAGTAAACATTAACATCCAGACCAAGGGTAACTTTCCCAAGGTTTTCTGCTCATCCTCCTCATGAGTTCTTTATTGCACTAGTTAGAAACATCTACCCTGAAATGTGGGACAGGGGTGGTCAGTCCAAGCTATCAAGGACGTTCACAGGCAAGTGCATCCATTGTGAAGCAGAAAAGGCAACGATCCCCGAAAGCGGGGCTTGAGCAAGGACCTACCCCAGCTCTTGGCTGTTCTTCCCAGGCATGTTTTCTCCTCTGGGTTCCACAGGAATATCTTCATCTCCCCAGCCAGGTCTGCCCAGGTTTTGCTCCCCATGTCTGCCTTGGTCTCGTTCTCCCTTCTGTCAGGAACCCAGACCTCCTCCTCCTGCTTATTTTCCTGGAAGAGTTACAGAACACAACCCCCACGTCCAAGCTGAACATCTCATTGGCCAAAAATAAACGCAAAAGCACTTAATAGCTGGAAATGTTTCAAATTTCCATTTTCCCATCATCACTCTTGAGTTAAAGAGAGGCAGATTTGGCTGTTGTATCTTAAGATGCTTAGATCCCAGCATCCATTTTTCCATGACACATCACTGCTGTCACACCGGTTTCTGTCTCCTTGTCCTGGCATTAACAGAAACTCATCTTTTTCCACCTGTGTGAACATGACCAAAGAAAACCTGTGATCTGGGGTTGTTCCCACGCTTCTGCAACATCTCTGAGCTCAAGTGCACGTTTTCTGTGCTACCACAGATGACAGCAGGCATCATTATTTGAGGTCATCTAGCTTGTTTTTCTTGGCGTGTGAGCAAGTGGTTAGCCTTTGGAGAAATCCCTGTGTTGTTATTCTTTAATTGCACTAAGTTCATGGAAAAGCATCTCCCCAGGTGGTGAAAATCTGCATTTTGCCTCAGTGGTGAAAACTCATCTGTACTGAGCTCAGGAACACAAATCTCTCTGTACCTGGGCCTGGATAAGAGCCACTTGAGACACAACACGGCAGCTGTCCCTACCCACCCCTGAACCTGGGCAGGATCTATGTCTCCAAAAGCAGGCAGTGAGGTGGGAGACGGTGCAGACCTCTGAGCCCAGGGCAGGCTAAGGACAAGGGGTGGTGCTGAGACCCGGGGTGGGTTCATCACCTCCCTGTGCTGCAGGGCTCAGCCTCTCCCAGCTCTCAGCTGGGTTGGGGCCACGCTCGCCTGCCCTG